AAAAAAAAAAAAAAAACCTCCTTTTGTCTTTCCCATTACAAACCTATCCCCACCCATCGGTACCAGATCAAGCCGAGAGAGCAGCTGCTCCGCAGAAAGCTGGCCCGTCGCTGTCTGCACCTCCCGGACACAGAGGACATGGCGCCCTGCTCCACGGCACCGCCAGCTCCCGCGGGAACGAAGCAGAGGTGTCCGGTCGGAGGTGCTCCCAGCCGTCAGCAGCTCCTCCCACGGTGCCGACAAAACCTCAGTCAAGTCCCTTCCCCAGGGCAGGACCCGCTGCACCAGCACCAAACGTGACTCAGTACCAGCCCTGGTCAGGGCTTCTTCCCTTCGGCTCTCCATTCATCAGTCCTCCTACAGGAAGCCTTCCTGACCACAGCAGTTGTAACCGACCCCTCCTGGTGTAAACTAGTACAACCGTGATGAAAACCAGTACGGGACGGCCTCAGAAAATCCCACTGCTGGGTGTACACGCAAAGGGAAGAAAATCGTATTTCATGAAGATGACACCCGGTGCTTCCTGGAGCCCTACCTCCAATAGCCCAGGTACGGAGTCAGCCTGTGTCCATCCACAGACGGAGGGGTAAGGGAAATGCGAGCCACGTGTCCCACTGCAGTGTGTGTGTGTACATACGGACATGGCACGTGTCTGTGTATGTACACACACAATGGAATAACCAGCCATTAAAAAGGACGAAGTCCTGTCGTTAGATGTTCAATGGGCAAATCTAGAGGACTTTATGCTAAGTGAAATTAGCCAGGACAGAAGGAGAAACACCGCATGTGGAAACGGAAAAAATAATAAGAAGGGAGAGGAAGAAGAATGGCTGCCAGAGGCTGGGAAGGGTGAGGTCGGGTAGAGGGTGTTGACTAATGCAAATGAAATTGCAAAGAGGAGGAGCAGTCTCTCTTTTTTAGAGAGAGAGATTTTGCTGTAGGGCACATGTGCGTGCCACAGAGACATAGAGACTTACCGAGAAATCATCCCGCGCACTCCCTTCTCCTCCACTCTCCTCCCGGGATCTTGGGCACACACACACACACACACACACACACACACGCACACACACGTGCCCAAGGCGAGTTTTACGGTCCAGGACTTGAACCACAGTCGACTACTTGGGAGTCCAGCGCTATAACCATTCCGCCATCTGCTGGTCCCGAGGAGGAACAGTTTCTAGTGTTATCAAATACAAGGGGGAGGACCTGGAGTGCGGTGTACCTCAGAGTAACTGGAAGGGAGGATTTTCAATGTCCCCACACGAGTGGTGACAAACAGCGGAGGTGCTGGATATGCTAAGTATCCTGATTTCATAGTCACATGTCGTGTTCCTGTACTGGAAAATCAAATTTATGCCCACACACTATGCACATATATTATGTGTTAACATTTTTTGGAACGATTTTTGATATAGGATGTGTAAGCTCACTAAAAAAACAGAAAGAGACAAAGAGGCAGACAGTGAGAAATCACCTCCCCCCTGGTGGAGGGGAATGGCCATTCCTCAATCCCTTCTCCTCCATTCCCCTCTTGGGATTTTGGACACTCACACATACACGCCCGGCATGAGTTTCAAGCTGCCAGGTTCAGGACTCGAACCTTGATCAGCCATGTGGGAACCCAGCACCTTAGCCACTATGCCACTTGCTGGCCCCTTGTTAACATTTTTTAAATGACCCCTCCCACCTCCACTCAGGCCCCATCCTCTTGTTCGTTGTGGCTTTTCTCCAGTGTACACGGAACGAGCGTTTCTTGGACCCGAGTGACAGTTGATGCACACGGAGCTTTCACCGAGGTGAGTCCTCCTGGGCCTCCTCAGGGAGCTCACAGATGAGGCTCAGGAAGGTGCCGCCACTTGTCAAGGCACTGCTCGGGGCACAGAGCTGTCCTCAGTCTTCATGATGTCTACATTCTAATGGGGTCAATAAACAAAACAAAAAATGAACACACGTGGGATGGCAGGTAGGGGCCAGGGCTTTGGGGAAAACAAAGGGAGCAGGGAGTGGGAGGAGGCTGCTCTTGCAGACGGAAAGTTTGGGAAAACCCTCACAAAGGTGAAGGAGCGGCCATGCCCGATCTTCCACTTGGCAACAGCAATCTCCTCCCGGACCTTACACACCTTCTACCCGACCCTCGCCCAGAATGGACTCATGATTTCTTTACAGCGTGTCTGAGCAGGTCTAGTGGAGGCACCGAGGGTCAGACTTCAGTGTGAACAAATACCTGTCAGAGCAACGTGGACTGTGCTGAAAGTAAAGCCAGGACGCGCACTGTGTTTATGGCGAAGCTTGGGTGGGAGCCTGATACAGTCACTTCACAGAGTTACGAGGGCGCTACGCCAAAGAAAGCAGCAGCTTACGAATACATCACTTGTTTTTATTTACTTATTTTAAGAGAGATTTTTACTACAGGGCACATGCACTCACCAGAGAAACAGAGAGACAGAGACAACAGAAAGCGAGAAATCAGCAGGGGGGATAGCCATGCCTCAGTCCCTTCTCTATTCTCCTCTTGGGATTATGGGCTCGCACACACATTTGCCCGGTGTGAGTGTTAAGCCACTGGGTCTGGGACTAGAACTGTGGTTGACTACATGGGAGTCCAGCAATGTAACCATTTCGCCATCTGCTGGTCCCAATTACTTGCTTCTAAAAAGGACTAGATGAAGTTGAAGATGATACCTGCAGCAGCAAACTGACTTAATAATCACTCATTAGTCAAGAAGAAAAAGGGCCATTCTGCCAGCAATGAGGTGGTGACCCGGGAATACACCATCAACATTCACAAGCTCATCCATGGCACGAGCTTCAAGAAATGTGCCCCTCGGGCACTCAAAGAAATCCGTAAATTTGCCATAAAAGCGATGGGGACTCCAGATGTGCGCATTGATACCAGCCTCAACAAAACTGTCCGGGCCAGAGGAATAAGGAACATCCCATATCGATTCCACATGCGGTTGTCCAGAAAACAAAACGAGGATGAAGATTCACCCAGCAAGCTCTACACTCTGGTGATCTGTGTACCTGTTACCACTTTCAGAGATCTACAAGCAGTCAATGTGGATGAGAACTAGCTGCTGATTTTCAAATAAAGTTATAAAACAAAAAAATACATAAATTAAAAGGACTAGATGAAGTTGAAGATGACACCTGCAGCAGCAAACTGACTTAATAATCACTCATTAGTTTGCTAGGAAAAAAATAAATCTTGTTAGTGTTCTAATCGAAGAGAACCAATCATTGACCACAGAAACAATAGCCAACACCATAGACATCTCAATTGGTCCAGTTTACACAATTCTAACTGAAAAGTTAAAGTTCAGTGAGGCCAGCAGCTGGTAAGGTGGTTAAAGCACTGGACTCCCACATGGCTGACACAGTTCAAGTCCTGGACTGGGGGCTTGCTTTCTCACTTTCCCTCTCTCTCTCTCTCTGTCTCTCTTGACAAAGTAAAATAATAATTATTATAATAAATAAAGTTAAATAAAATATTTCTTTAAAGAAAAAAGTTGAGTAAACTTTCTGCTCAATGGGTGTCAACACTGTTGCACCCAGATTAGCTGCAGACAAGAGAACTTTCAGTGGGCATTTTCAAGAAATGGGATCGGGATTCTGAAGCACTTCTTGGAAGAATGCTAACAGCAGCTAGGATTCCGAAGCACTTTTTTTTTTTTTTTAACATACAATACAAACACTTTATTCAACTTTGCAGATCATCCCTTTGGGCCAAGCTGTCATCCCAGACATCTAGGACCCAGCACAAAAAGCACTTCTTGGAAGAATGCTAACAGCAGCTCACACGTGGCTGTCCGAGTACGATCCTGAAGACAAAGCACAATCAACACAGCAGCTACCAAGAGGTGGACGTGTCCGGTCAGAGCAAGAGTCGAGAGTAAAGGTCACGGCAAGAGATTTCTGGGTTGACTTTCAGATGAACCAAAGAACAATAACATCTGCTTATAAAGAGAGCGG